AGCAAAATCAGCCAGTGCTCATCTCTTATATAAAATGGCATGTTATTTAAATATACACCTACACACATCCTCCAGTTACTTTATACCATCCCTAGATTACTTATAATACCTAATAAAATGTCAGTGTTAAGTAAATGGCTGTTATACATGTGCAGTACAGATGCAAGTTTTTCAAATATTTTTGAGCCACTTTTGGTTGAATCTGCTGATACAGAATGCACAGATATGGAAGATTTATTTATCTGTTGGACCTTCTTATTTCTACATTTCTTCTGTTTCTAATTAATGGTGTTCTCTGCCTTCTGCTGATTTCTAGAGAACTTCTTCAGATTTACCCTCCGATTTACTTATGCTCTCTTCTCTTATTGTGCATGAAAAGACTGTTTAACATATTTAGAGTTCCTATTTAACAATCCAATTTTCATTTCTAAATGTTCCACTTGATTCTTTAAATTTTTGATTTTTTCAATTTTGATGCTTCCTTTATTTTACATTCAATCTCTATTTTTAAAAATATACCAAATATATTTGTTTTGTATGCTGTCTCAGGCACACATAATGATTTTGCAAGTATGGTTAGAAATATATTTGTGTTTTGTCATTCATGGTGATCTTCAGTCATGGTGGCTTGTTTTGTGTTTGTTTAGTGAGCTCATGATCTTTGGATATTTATCTGGGAAATGCAACTCATTAAACCTAAACTCACAGTTCCCTGGGAATCCACTAGTTCCCCAAAGGCCAAGTCCTGGTTTAGTGCTTGTCCAGTACAGATTGGTACTTTATTTTTTTCTCTTTTGCTTTTGCAGAGTTTTACTTAGTTTCCAGATCACACATGAAAATGGAGGATTTTTATATTTCATCCATAATTTTTAACTTTGTTTTCTCAGAAGAAATTTTTCTGAAGATAAAACTTGAGGTATTGCTGAAAATAGCTGCCCTTAATAAATATATGTTGAATGATTAATAAGTTGACTTCCACAGTAATGAACAGAGATCATTTTTTATCTTCCATTTCTGGGCCATTGCTACACCTCTGCTAAACTATGATTCAAAATAAGAATATGCAGTGGGTCAGACATTAACTGTACTAAAAAAATGTCTATTTGTTTAGTAAAAATAAACCTCAAAAACATCACTCAAGCCTAGAGCTGGAAAGACACTTTCTGGTCAGTGAGGGAGGATTGGACCAAGTAGTAAAGAATTGCATTGTCCATTCCCTTGAGTATTTTTTCCTGATATTCACTCATTAGTATGCACATCTAAAAATATTCCTGCCTTCTATAATGCCAAGAAAATGACCATAAACTTGTGCTCTGTTTTGAGATGAGGCCAGAGTGTTGCAAAGATGACTGTCCTGAAGGCTAGGGATGATGGAGAGAAATGAGTGTAGGGAGAGGGAAGGAGGGAGGAAGGGAGGGAGAGAAGTGGGAGGGAGAGATAGATAGATAAATAGATAGATAGATAGATACAGAGCTAGAGCTAGAGATAGATAGACAGTAAAAATTGTATTATTTTGTTTTGTATCTCATCTTGGATGTCACATAGCATCAGTTCTGATTGGTTAAAGAAGCTTCAAAACCCCATAAAGGCAAAGATAGGGAAGAAGGATTCCATTTATTGACTGGGGGAAGGTTAGCCCCTCTATCCAAGAGCATGTGGGTTGCAAACTGTACATTTGTGAGTGAGTGTGTGGTGTGTGTATGTTGATTTGGCCATTTTTTGAAAATACAATCTGCCACATGCATACACTTTCTATAGCTGTTATAAACATAATATTATATTAGAAAACATCCAGCATAATGCCAACGACTTTATACTTGCTCCATATGCATTAGTTTTCTTTTCTCTTGTTTTCCTACTTTTATATAAGAAAAATATAACAAGTTCTTATTTTAAGGGACACAACATAGATGAGAAATAAAAAGTGTTATTTTTCTTGCATATTCTACTATTCTGAGTTGTCAGGTCAGTAGATACCCATTTTTCAAATGAGGGAATTATGGCTCAAAGATGTTCAGTAATTTTAGTCTTAAACTAGTTTGGTAAGATGATTTTTATGCTTTGTCCTCCACTTATGCTTTAAATAAACTTTTGTTCAAGTATGAAATAAAGATACATACTTCATGATATTTTTTACTAACTAGATGCAACTGTTTTACCAGTACCCTATCAGAACCAGAACAGTACCAGAAAACTTAGAACACCTTTCACTTTCCTTTCTGGTCACTTGTCTCTCACTTTTAAGGCCAAGATTACTTTTCTTGTTTTTAATACTTTATATATGTGTGTATTAGTCAGTTTTATCATTGCTGTGACCAAACACCTGACAGAAACAATTTAAGGAAAGAAAATTTATTTTAATATGCAGTTCCAGAGGGTCAAATTCATGTTCACTTGGCTGTGTTTCTGGGCCCATGGTGAGACCGAACATCGTGGCAACTGGCACGTGCAGAACAGAGGTTGTTCACCTCACGGTGGACAGGAAGCAGAGAGAGAGGAAGATATTCTGGGGGTCAGGTATCACCTTCAAAGTCAGACCCCAGTGACATACTTCTTCCAGCTAAGCCACACCTTCTACAGTTTCCACCACCTCCCAAAATAGTTCCACCAGCTGGGACCAAGTATTCCGTACATGAGCCTGTGGAGGGGTAATTATCATTCAAGTCATTACCACAGGGAATCATAAAATATGTACTTGTTTACACTTTGTTTCTTCTGCTCCATAATAGATTGACTAGCCATATTTATGTCATTAACTTTCATGGCTAAATGGAATTTTATTTTAATAATATCTCACTATCTAATATCCAGTCTACAGTTGGTTGACACATAGGTTGCTTTCAGTTGTGGGCTAATATGTACTCTGTTGCTATGGACATTCTCTGGCAAGCTTTTAGGTCAATCGATGTTCTCATTTTGTTGAGTATACACTCAGTAGTGGTATGCTGTTTGAACCAGCTTTTATATACATTCATAATTATATATATTTATGTATATATTATATATATTTATGAAATAATGTGAACCAATTTATTATACCCACATACAATGATATGCAACATTGTATTGTACTAATTTTATTCCTGGTAAGATGTACTTTCTCTTCTCTTATTTTTCCTTTACCATCTATTTTAGGCAGGCAGTTAGGGTTTATATTTCTTTGCTTTCCCATTTTTGGCTAAGATAAATCAAAAGCAGCTTGTAATTTATACCCTGCCCATTTTTAAAACCAAGGGCCACTGAAGAGATAGAATTGGCTGTTCAGTAACAGTAGGGTCAGGTAAAGAGGTCTTTGAAGGTAAAGAAGGTGACAGAGACTCTGACAGAAGGGGGTTGGAAGTCAGTGAATCTAAGAGATGGCAGTGGCCACAGGGCCTGAATATCTGTTCATGCTATGTTTAGTAGGGTGACCACAAAATATGTAATCTAAATCCAGATACTTTTGAGAGTGAAAGGACATGCTAGTAATAATCATAGAGGGATAATGAGTGTCATTCAGGACTATTCCAGACAAACTGGGGAGATTTTCAACAACTTTAGAAAAAAATTGTAAATGCTGATGTTCACATGTATTCTTAGAATACTCATGTAGCAGTTCATATGAAGAGAAGCTTTCTTATCTGAAGAATGACAGGATCAAATCCTCAGTTTCATTCCTTTTTATACCTGGATCCTTCACATCTATAGAGTAAATCCATGCTAGGTGTGTGTGCTTCTTTGCATGTATATTGTGATATTTAAACCTCCTCATGTATAGTCAAAACTTGCCTGTGACCTTTAGTACAGCTAAGAGTAGGTTGTGTTTGTGGTGGTGATGTTTCACTATTCTCAGCAATTCATGGCCCTGGAAGCATTTTGTATGAGGTACTCTCTGAGTAGCTATACTCCTGATCTAAATTCTTTTTATTTATGTATTTGGTCCTCCTCCCAAAGGTCTTTATGAAATCTTTAAATGGTAGAAAATAAGTTTGGGGTCATTCTTTCTTACAGTCAAGCTTAGGATCCAAAAAACAGAGGAAAAATGAACCTCCAAACTCAGGACTAAGTGACACAAAATCCCTAGAGTAATGGGGAAGTTTAAGTAGAATATCTGCTTCCCAAGAGACATCTAATGCAGGCTATAAACAAAGACAGTGCAGTTTCTTCCCTGTGGGGACAGATATCAGAGAAATTCCTAGGGGAATCTTGTCTAATCAGGTCCCTGAGATGGCCAAGCAGCTTAATTCTCTATGATGTGTCAGCTGGGATTCTGGTGAAAAAGGTTGTTAGTTTGTTCTGAAATTGATAGTACATCTGGGAAAATCTACAAACAGAAATCTTGGTCTATTCATTTAGTGCCTTAGAGAATTTGGGTTAGTAAAAGCTGTGACTCCCAGTATCAAGGGAAGCAGAAGAGGTAACATTTAAGACTGTCTGCTTTATGCTGTAGCAGTGCTGTCTTCTAAATCCATGTCTATGGGCTCTGGGAAACATTGATTCTTCCCTTGTTCTCAACACTGATTCTGAGGTGAGGAGGACTGTGGGATTTAGAGAAAGAAGCCCCTTATACAAGCCAGTAGGGGACACTCTTAGCTTTTGACTTGGGTTTCTCTCTAGGTGGGAACCCAGTATGTGGTTGGGACTGGGATGAAGAGAATGGGAGGACACAACAGAAGTATGAGCACTCCTATCTCACAGTCTGAGTACTCTTGGCTCTTGGAGTGTCTTTCTGAGAGTCTTTGGTTAGACATTGAGGTATGCTGCCTCATCATCTCTCAAGTGGGGACAGAATTCTTGCTTCCTGTATTAATAGACTAGCTTAGAGATATGATCATCCCAAGGGAGCTGGAGCTGAGACACTGCCACAGTGACTCTGTCAACAGCTTAGGATAGGGAGAGGCATAGATGAAGAAACAAAGAAAAGAGGACATCCATGTACTGACTTCTGTTTTAGAGCTTTCTTGCATTGTTCATGCTTGTGACTGCCATCACTGTGTGTGTTTTGTTCCCTGTTTCCCCAGATGACTTGCCAGAAGAGAATGACTCTGAGAAACAGTTCCTCAGTCACTGAGTTTATCCTTGTGGGACTGTCAGAACATCCAGGGCTCCAGTTCCCCCTCTTCATCTTGTTCTTATGTATCTATGTGTTCACTGTGGCGGGCAACTTGGGTTTGATGACCTTAATTGGGTTGAGTTCTAGCCTTCATACCCCAATGTACTTTTTCCTCTTCAACTTGTCCTTTATAGATTTCTGTTATTCCTGTGTGTTTACCCCCAAAATGTTGAATGATTTTGTGTCAGACAATATTATCTCTTATGTAGGATGCCTGACTCAACTATTTTTCTTTTGTTTCTTTGTCAATTCTGAGTGCTATGTTTTGGTATCAATGGTCTACGATCGCTATGTGGCCCTCTGTAGCCTCTGATGTATGCAGTCACCATGTCCCCTCAGGTCTGCTCTCTACTGATGTTTGCTTCATATGTGATAGGGTTTGCTGGGGCTGTGGCCCATACTGGAAGCATGCTGAGACTACCTTTCTGTGATTGTAACATCATCCACCACTACCTTTGCGAAGTTCTCCCCCTCCCGCAACTCTCCTGCACCAGCACTAAGGTCAATGAGCTGTGTTTTCTATTGTTGTTGGAATTGTCATCATGGTATCCAGTGTCAGCATCTTCATTTCTTATGCTTTGATTCTCTCCAACATTCTTCGGATTCCTTCTTCCAAAGGCAGGTCCAAAGCCTTTGGCACGTGTGGCTCTCATATAATTGCTATTGTTCTGTTTTTTGGGTCAGGGACATTCACCTATTTAACAACCTCTTTTCCTGGATTTACAGAACAGGGCAAGTTTGCCTCAGTCTTTTACACCAATGTGGTTCCCATGTTTAACCCTTTGATCTACAGTTTGAGGAACAAAGATGTTAAGTTTGCCTTAGATAAAACCTTGAAGAGCATACTCTTCTGACGGATCTGTTATCATTGGCAATTCATTCCCAGCAAGCATGATACTCAGGTAACTGTTTATCTACTGAAGGAGGAATTTTAATCTTTTTTTCCCCAAATAAGGCCTTCCCTCTACTTTTAAGAATCAGAAATTTCAAGCCAGACATGGTGGTTCGTGACTGTAATTCCAGCATTTGGGAAGTTGAGGCAGGAGGATCATGAGTTTGAGGCTATCCTGGACTACATAGTGAGATCTTGTTTCCATAATCTAAAAAACATTTTAAAAATCAGCAGTCTCTTGCCTGCACTCTCCTTGAGTATTATACATTTTTGTATCACTTTTCATACAACTTAGATTCTACTAAGTGCCTGGTACTTACTGTATTCTGTATTAGACCCAGCCAATGAATAACTTGAGACTTCATGTCTTCACTTTTTTCAAGGTAGGCTAAATGGTTTGTCTAAGCAAGGACATTTCCAGTGGGAAGAAGGGGCACATGGTGGTATGAGGGCCCAGGAACATTTTTTTCTTCAGTTATATGACCAGTCTTACTAAAGATCAAAGGTAGATTCTTTCATGTCACAGGTAACATAATCTCCCAACTCTTAGGCTGCTTAGCCAGGAAGATCATAAATCTTCCTTTTCATGTACATAAAAAAGGTCTCACCTGATAACTTGACATGGGCTGAAATATAAAGATAAATCAAAACCCAAATCTTTTACTTCAAAGTTTGAAATTTTCTGAGCCTTGGGACAACAACTGCCAGTAGGCAAAATCTTCTACTTTAGCCAGTTTCTTAGGCTCTGGGGATTTAAGCTGAAAGGAAGAACAACTTCCATGGATTTGCATGATTATGTGAAATACTACCTCCATCCCATCCTGGAAACACTGTGCACAATATGGAGCTTTGGCACTTTTAGGAAGTATCTTTTATTTTTGAGGGGGAGTGGATTTTTTTATTTTTTTGCTATGTAGCCCAGGATGGCCTCATACTCATACTCATGATTCTTCTACATGCTTGGATTATAAACTACAATACTTGGCCCTTTTAAAATTTTTAAAGTGGATTTAGATGTTACCATCTGTGTGTGTGTGTGTGTGTGTGTGTGTGTGTGTGTAAGTTATAGATAACCACTTAAAGAATTAGAAAAAAACTGGAGTTGTATTACACTTCTCACTCTCAGGGAGGCTGGAGTGCATCTTCCTTTTGAGTACCTAAGATAATTTTGTATCATTCTGTTAAAGATTCTGCTGTTCTATATATTGATGAGCTCACCTTTTGAAAAATACACCATCATGATCACTCTGGATCTATTAAGGAAGGTGAACATAGGGCCAGCCTTGCTCATGTGGAGCGCTGGAGTGGAGAGTTCACACTGTGGGCAGAAGGATAGGCACTCTCTAAAACAAAGGGTAGAATTTTGGGTGTTCTTGAGGAGACTGTCTTGAAGATTATTTGATTCTTTTCTTCTGTACATGGGGAAAGTTATATAAAGTACCACATCTATATCTTCTACTTTGCTTCTATCCATCTCTTCCATAAAAATGGACAGTTGCTAGTGCAAGAGACAAAGCAATGAAGAGAAGTAAGTCCTCTTTCGCATTGTCTCTCCATTGATGTGGAACAAAAACCACTATTATACTGAGAAGAGGCAGTCCAAGTGTTCCAGATGGAGCCAGAAGCAAGATAACCTGAGGGACATCCTGAGCTCAGAGAAGCACAGAGAAGAAACTTCAGTAAGGGGAAAACTGATAATGAGATGTGAGACAAACTGCATCTTCAAATATGCTAGAGTGAAGAGGTCTTTGAAGAAGGAAGAAAATGTTGATATTTGGATCACAATGATAGTTAACATCTCCTGAGGATACACTATGTATTTGTCTCACTTGTTGGAATTGAATTATAATACCACACTGAACCTCTGCTTGTCAGTCCCCTGGGACTGACTTTCTCCAGGACTGCATATGTCGGGCACATGAGAATCTTGGAATACTAAGAAAGAGCCAAGAATGAGGAAGGAGAGATGTGTGTAGTGGTGCACATGTGAAATCCCAGTAGTCTAGAGGCTGAGGCAGAAGGATTGTAAATTGGAGGCTAGTCTGGTCTAGACAGTAAGACCCTGTCTCAAATTTAAAAAAAGGAAAGAAAAAAGAGGAATGACAAATATAGATCTACTTTGTTATGGGTAAAGGAAAAAAATCAATTATCATTGGTAGACATGAGTAGGAACAAATAAAATTCAGGGCATAAGATATGAGTAGAAGGGAACATTATGAAATAAATGCATTCAAGTCCAAGAATATCCATTCCATATTGGCATTGGGGTGAATAGAGGAAAAAGCATAAGTCTGACTTAATAAGTCACCAGCTTGAATCTTTTCAAAGCAGTCCGTTTGTTGCTAAGGATCTGAAATGGCAAAAACCCATAGGAATTTTTCATTCTTCTTACAACAGATAAGAGCCATCTATTGCTACCACAGAAAACACAACATCTTATAAATCCAGAAGGTCTTCACCCCCCTCACAAACCAATGACAGCTCTAATTGCATGATGGTTTGGGTTGATGCTGAGGAATTGTTTGTTCTGAGAGGTCAAAAAATGAAAAGAAATGGGAATCATTGCTTGACAGTAACTGAGAGACACAATTTGAAATCCAGTGTAAGATATTCTAAAGGGAATCCTTCTATCATAATATCACAATACATTGCTCTTTTTGTCTTTACATTCTTCCACATGCTAAACAGTGGGAGAGGACAGAGATAAGTGAGAGACATCAAGTAGTGGGAGTGAGAACCCAAGAAGAACTTTGAGAGAATCTTGGTAAGGAAAGGCAGGTGCTGTATGGTATTATGAAGAGCAGATGGGAAGATGTCTGTGACTGACTCCATGTTCAGCCTCAGCCTCAGAACATGTCACACTTCCATAAATGAAATGTATTATTTACTAAGTGCTGCAGTTGGTAGCACTTCTGCAAAAGTCTGACATCTGTGGCTTAAACACATAAAAGCTTGAGTGTTTCTTAAAGTAAAAAAGATCTAGAAAGTGGGCAGTCCAGGACAATGTGACTGTGCTGACTCATCGAGGACTCAGCTTCTTTTTTCTCTTCTTCCTGAGAAGTGACTAGTGCTTTTATAACTTTGTTCACATTTTTAAAGCAGGAAGACACAGGACAGAGAAAGAAAGCAAAAGAGTGCTTTACCTATTCAATGAGTAACCTCTACCAACTTCTTATTAGCCACCCTACTTGCAAGGGAGATGAGGAAACTTAACATTTAACTTGAGAACATTATCATTCTGAAATGGAAAAACCCAAAATTTTGTTGCTAAGGAGAAAAGAAAATGGCTACGTGTAGCAGTCTCTCCCAAGAGATAGGATTCTACTTGTTGGGAAGGAGCAGTTCATAAGTGGGCACTTTGCATTCCTATTTTTTGCTTTCTTACTTTGTCTACTCTAGGAGAAAAGGAATGATTAATCAGTCAGATGAAATTAAAGGAGACTGACAAGCTGGTCATTGATGGAGATATGTCCAGTGTCTTCATCACTGGCCTATTGGTACAGTGGTGAGGCAAGCTTGTGGCAAGGGCAAGAAAGACAGATCTATACTATTTCATTTACATCTTCTCTTTTTGACTCCCATTGGGCTAATTTATGGTCAAGTTTCTAGGAGGGAGGGTTGGGTTCTGACTTATTTCCATGTTCAGCATTGCTATTAATAAAGGTGTAAGTTTTAAATCCTCTTTTGGCATGTTATATTTGTTCTTACTAGTGAGAGCTCATAGAGGAAGGAGAGTGAATGATTAATATTGCTCCAACTCCTACAATCTTTGCACTTATAGTATAAGGGACTACCTGAAGCTCTTGTTTTCTTATGATTTGGGATGACCTCCCTTGCTCTGCTAGTGGGTTTTTAGAAAAGAAATCAAGAACAAAATTTCTGAGATTACACAAAATACAAGAGCTCACTGAGGGGCAATAGGAAAATCTGATGTGACAAGTTAGGATAGAGAATTCATAATTTTATAGAAAAGCAAGAATAATGGCTTATCTTTCAAGACTTTCTAGTCCATTTATTGGTTCAACTAAATGCTAACTAAGTGGCAGGTGAAGAGTTCAAGATTTCACTTTATGGGATTATTAGTACTCTGTTGCTTCCAATAACGTGTGTAACTACCTGCTTTAAGTGATAAAGAAACTGAAGTGGGATTGATTGATATTGCTGTTTGAGAATTGAAAATCCTAATTAGAATATTTTCCTAATTATCACTATTTGGCCTCTTCTTGTACATTAAAAATAACCTACAAGTTGACAAATAATAAAACAATAAGAATATTTAATAGTGCAAGGTAAACTCTAAGGAATGATTTATTTGGGGTTAAAATTGGGTGGTGGGGAAGAGGGAGCAGAGGAGATAATAGGAGGAGATGTATTAATTATCTCATTAGTCATAATAGGGAGGTAATATATACATTAACATTATATTAAGTTATAAAAAACTAGACTATGAATACACACCTTTCTAAATATTGGAACCACATATACCCAAGGAAGAAAGAGAACCACCCAGTTTTTTTTCCATTATTAGAAAACCACCAAGTTTATGGTTTAAAATAATGTATAGGTAAAATAAGAATTAATAAAGTACAATATTATGAGAGAACTAAAGCAGGCATATATTAATAAATGTAATTGTCCTGACTTCTCCCTTAAAGTAAAAAGAATCAGAATGGATCTCAAAACAGAGCACAACTCCATGTTGCATACAAGAGACATATTTAAATCAAGTGATTCAGAAAGATGGCAATTCAAATGGTTGCCAAACTCATGTTAGGCAAATGTAAACAAATAAGCAGATAAACAGTATGAGCAACAACCAGAATGGAAACTAAGACAAAAAAGTTTCAGTTGGAAAGGCTTTATAATGCTATAGGGCACATCTCACAATTAATATGTAATAGTTACCTGGATGCCTGTGGCTCATGCCTATAAGCCTAGCAACTTGAGGGGCTGAGTTCTGGA